CCCGGTGAAGGCGGCCACTGCTGAGACCCTGTGGGGTCAGCCCAGCCCTGGGTGGCTCAGCCTGCAGAGCGGCCTGCACAGCGCACACAAGCCGCCAGCCGAGGCCGCCGAGGCCCCACCGTCAGGAGCCAGCACGGACGCTGGACGCCGTGGGCCGCCTGGCTGTCCCCGCCCGGTGGAGGGCTGGGCCGCTCACCGCTCCAGCTGCTTCTGGTGCTTCTCCTCACGGGCCTGCGCCTTCATCTGCTGCACCTCGATGGTGTCGGGCTTCCGGCGGCGCATGTACAGCTCGTGGTTGCCCATGCATAGCTGCAGGATCCGCTTGTTGATCCGCAGGCGGGGTGCGTAGAACACGAAGTCCTGCAAGACACCCGGGTGACCGTCGGCCTCCCCCGATCGCGCCGCCCGACCCGGGTTCTGGAACCTGCTCCGAGAGGACCAGCAGAGCAGGGACTGGGCCAAGCCGCAGCTCTTGGCACCGGGAGGCAGACTCGGGGCGGGGGGTGAGTGTGGCCGGAGCATGCACAGGTGTACGTGGGAGGCACGGGTGGGACGGGCACTGCATGTGTGCAAGCACTCACATGTGGGCACACACTGAATGCTGACCCTTCCGGAAGGACCCTCCCAGGCCGGGACGCACGCGGCCTTAGGAACCCCGTGAAGTGCCAGGTCCAGGTGTGGCCTGCCCTTCCCAGCAGCGTCTTCTGTGCTGTCCCCTCCAGCCTCACAGCGCCGTCTCCCAAGCTTGCCTGGACCACCTCAGCTGCTCTTACACGGGCTTCCTGCCACCGACCTTGCCTGGTCACCACTCCAACGCTCTCTGCCCGCCTATGAACCGTGGGCTCCTGGCCTGGCATGTGTGGCCGGCAGCTCTGTCCAGCCTGCCCGTGTCCCCCTGAGCGTGCCCGGGCCCCCTCCACCCTGGGACAGCAGCCCTGCTTCTTCTGTGGGGGCGTTTGCCCGGTGCCACCGACAAGCACTCTGCCGGCTTGTCCTGACACCCGTCACTCCCATTAGACTGTCTGCTCCCCAGGCCGTGTCGGGCACCTGTCCTCCCGGGCCCGAACCCGCGCTCACAGGGCTCGGTCACAGGCTGTGGTGAGGACGGCGCACGGAGCAACCCCACGTGCAGGGGCGGCCTCGGGAGCTACTCACTTCCGCACTCAGCTCGGGGACCCCGAGTGCAGAGGACAGCATCTGCGGGACTGTCAGGGTGACCCGTGTTTACCAGGCATCGGGACAGCGTCTGCCACGGCTGCCGTGGGCCCCCCCCCCAAGGGGGCGCCGAG